GGAGAGCCTGGTACTGGTAATGCTGGTTGGCATATACAAATTGCAGAAACTTTTGGTGAGACCTGTGGATAGGTATGTGAAGGTAGGCTTACGACAAGTCTATTGACGGCAGGAAATCCCCCTGTTGTATGGCTGCCAGGATGGATTTGAGGGTTTCCATTTGGAACTTCCTGTCTCTTATGTGTTTGTTGAGCCATTTCAGATCCAATATGGCTCTGGTGTCTCCATTTTTCAGCACTATAAAGAAGATTGAGTAAACGCCCTGTGGAGGGTGGGACTCTCTCTATGGCCCTGGTATCCAGAAGGTGCCGTATAGCCTCTTTGGTTTGTAGATGCTTCAGATGGTTGTGATTCTTTGGAAATTGAAGGAAACAGTGTTGGGGAAAGACCGAGAACTCCAGCTTGTATCCGTGAGTCACGATCTCGAGGACCCACTGATTGGTTACCGACTACTGCCAACAGTATGCAAAAAACTGGAGCCTCCCTCCAATCCCTGATAGGTTTCCTGGGTTTGAGTAGTCATGCTGAGGTTCCCTTCTTGGGGTTCTTGGAGGAGGTTTGCTCTCCTTTACTAGAGATGAAGGGTTTGCTATTGTGTTGTCTAGGTTGCCACTTGCCTTTAAATAGTCTAGAGTAGGAGGGTTTCTGGCTCCTTTTTTGATCCCAAAAGGGCTGAAACCGCTTCCTGGATTTGACATCTCTCTTTTTTGATGGAAGGACTTTTTTCTTGTCCCTGTCCTCAGTTAAATACCTCTTGTGGAAAGAGCCTGGATTGGACCAAGCGCATCACTTTCTCATCTTCTTCTGATAGTTTTCCTTCCTCTCTTTCTAAGGAAGAGATGGAAGACTCTGCCTCTCTGTTTTCCAGCAGGGGGCTGCACTCCCTAGGGAAAGGCTTGTGTTTCTTCTCTTTATTTCTGTGTGGGGACCTAGAGGAACTAGATGAATCATCTTCCTGGCTAGGCCTGGCCCTCTTGGAAGCCCTACCTCTCTCTATAAGAAATTGCAGTGCCTTGTTACCTTAAAAGGTTTCTCTAAGCATGTCTTTAAACTCCCTTCTCATTTCACCCCTGAACCAGTTCATAAGTTTTGTTTTGTCTGACTCTCTACTTTCCTGGTTCAGTGGGTCCACTAAATCCTGTGAATTCAGGGAGACTGAAAGTCTAGGCATACTGAGATCCTCAAAGGAGCTTCCTCTATCTTGGGAACAGCCTGAGCTAGCTTTTTCAGCCATTTCTGCCTGTGGGGGAAAGAGTGAAACAGAAACTACTCTCAGATTGGAAGAAGGGCATGTATCCTTCCCAAGATTTTGCATTCCTCATCTGTAAGGCAGCCCTGGGAGCCAATAGAGGTTGCTGACCGGTACCTCTGCACTCGAGGCAGGGCCCACCCCGACAGGAAAATACCAAGAGCGGTAATAAAATGGTTTTCCCGCCAAAAACCCCCACATCTTTTTGCTGTGGAGGAATCCTTTTCCATCCCCACGGCTCCAGTGAATGTCCCCCCCCCTCATGCCTGGGGAAGGGTCTGGTGACATAAGGCCAGGGATCAACATGAGCACTCCCCCCTCCTTGCCTGATCGGTCCAAAGGGAGGGTCTTAAGCCTGCCCAGCTCTTTTTGCAGTGCTCCCTTCCCGTAGTGGAAAGCCTACTCGGGAGTAAGGAGGTCTGTGGCTGGTGTGGGGACTTACCGGGACTCAGGAGGGAAGTTGAGGTCTTCCTTGTCCCCTGCACCAGTCCCATGTGCTCTCGCGGGGGGGGGGTTGCTAGGCCTCTGGTTACATCCTGCCGCCACGTTGTAGACTCCTCCACACTCCCTTTAGTCCTGTGAGCAGGCCCTCCACCTTTGGGTGGGTAAGGCCAATGGGGATCTGTCGGGGCCGCCACAGCATCACTGCAACAGGGGAACTCCCAGCGCAAACCAGCCCCTTTACTGTGCCGCCTAACTCTGCACCTTCTGAGGTGCTGCAGCTCAGTTTCTTCTTCCTCCTTCTTCTTATCTTTCTTTCTTCTCTGGCTGCGCTATGCAGCACTACTCAGGCACGTCCTGCTGAGAAGAACTGGGAAGCCTCCAGGGGATAAGCCCCTCCCCACCTGGATCAAAAGCTCAGAGCCAACCCTGTGATGGAAGGAGGAGCTTATCCCAATCATGAGGACTGTCCCACAATCTGAACCACTGGAGAAATGCTAGTGTTATTTCAGTTAGACAACATCCTGCTGTTTCAAAAGAGTGAGAACCCGAGTATCTGCAACATACCACTTACAGTATAATCAGCCACAAATATAGATTACAGTTAGGGTTGCCAGGTCCCATCTTCTCCCTGGTGGTGGGATTTAGGGGGCATTGTGGGAGGGGAAGGGACCACCCCAATACAATGATATCATGCAGAGTGGTGTCATTGTGCTGGGGATGCTGCATCGCGTGTGCACACCTCCCACTTTCCCCCAACCATTTAAAGGGAACCTTCCTTTTAAATGGTTGGGGGGAAAGCGGGCACTGTGCGTGCCTGCCTTGCAAGCTGCAAATTTGCCACTTCCACGGCAGGAGTGGGCAGCCCCTGCTTGAAAAGAGTGGGTACCATATGCACCTGTCCTGCAAGCCACAAATTCACAGCTTGGGGGGCAGGCAAGAATGGTGCCCGATCTTTTCAAGTGGTACCGTGGACGACTTTTGGAGGCAGGGCTTCCCCCACCAGCCAACTGGCCGGGATCTGGGGGGGAGCCCCAAAAATTGGGGGATCTCACACCCCCACCTGGGTACTGGCATCCCTAATTACAGTCCTTCTGTTATTTTAGTTTTTGAACACTCAGATTTGACTATATCATTATTTCCCTGGTAAGATAAACATACAAATGTTGGTAAATGGCCAATGTAGCTTAATTCTATGAAGGTATTCTTCCAGCAGATGAACCTCATTAATGCTAGCAACGTGATCTTGACTTTCAGTCCTTGTTTGGTACCTTCTCTGTTGCACCCTGAGATAGCAGAAAGAAAGCTGCTCTGATGGAGTAATGAGTTTGTGCAGGAGCAGATAAGGAGGCTCCATATTTGGCACAGAAGATCTGTCAGGTGAACAAAGAGAGGACAGTATTACAAAATGTCACTGCAGGACATGATCTCTCAGGAAGCATGCATAGTCAGAGTAATTATTAGGTCAGGTTACCAAGGCTTGGATTTGGACAGCAGCCCAAAGGAATCAATCCCAGATACTTTAGGGCCATTAGAAAGGTACAGATTAGCAGGCTTCTACACTGCAAATGGTTACCAGAGGGCAGAGCGGGAGAAGAGAGCTTCAAGTCTGTAGAAAATGCCTGTTAGTACGGGCGGTGATGGCAATATACTCCCCTTGTGAAAATAAAAAGGGGGGATATGTAAGGATGGATAGAGGCTCCCTGTCTCCTACTGAATATAAATGAGGACAGATACCGAGTACAACAATCACCAAGAAATGTATTTATATGTAAATCTATGGATGCATGTTTATCTATGTTAACTCTTTAATCACATGCCTTCATTCAATTGATACTCATGCTCCCTCATTCTCAGGTAGCAGAAAGGTTCCAATCTTAATGTATGCTGACGATGCTGTTCTTTTATCCCAGACAAGGATTGGTCTGAAGCGAGCCCTGATAAAATTTAAAGAGCAATGTGACACCAAATTACTATCTATTAATTTTGCTAAAACTAAAATTGTCCGTTTTGGTAATTCATTCAGGAAGTTCAACTGGAATATTAAAGGAAATGCCATAGATCAAGTTAAGAACTTTCAATACTTAGGCATTACCTTTTCTTATAATTCCAAATTCTCAGCACATCTGTCCTCATCAGCTAACCTGGCGGAGAGAAGTGAAAATGCCATTCTTAGATTATTTAGAAGGAAAGGTGCAGGCTTTCTCCCTATGGCCTTAAAAACCTTCCAGGCAAAATCATTGGCTATACTCCTGTATGGATCACAAATTGGACTTTCTGCCAATTTAAAGACCCTTGAAAGGGTTCAGTCTAAATTTCTTAGATCTTTATTTTGCGTTCCTAGAAGCACTTCTAATGTAACACTTAGGCAACAGGCTGGGCTACTCAGAGTTGAAGCAAAGGTTTGGGAGCAGGCTATAACACTCTGGCTAAAAATTCATTACAACCCAAAGGGTTTAATACCTTACCTTTTAGCCTTGGACCCTTACCCTGCCTGGTCCACACAAATTCTTAATAAATTAAATCAGATTGGCCTATTCCCAGAAGATCTCTTCTATGGAAGCCTATACAAGGCAAGAACAGCTGTCGCACAGAGGCTTTGTGATATTGAATTACAAAATGAAGAAGCTTTGCTACCCAAGAACTTCAGAAGTATAAATCTTGGCCTAATTTTACTGCTGCCCCTTATTTATTTAACATTACCTATGAGCCCTATAGATGGGCTTTTTCCAGAGCCCGTTTTGAGGCACTCCCACTGTACTGCAAGGTAAATTCACTCGAGTTCCAATGCATGAACGTATATGCCCATGCATGGCTAATATGGTGGAATCAATTGCTCATGTCCTCCTGTTCTGCCGTTTCTATCAGGAGGAATGAGACCATCCATCTTATACTACCCCTTCTGTCTAGCACCATGTGTAAGCCGCTCAGAGACCCCCTGAGAAGGGGGTTCGAGCGGGATATAAAGCCGAAGATTAAATAAATAAATAAATAAATTCCTCTTAGAAGACATTCAGAGCTCAGTGACTTAAAATTTTAGCTGAAAAGATTGTATGATTCTCTTAACAGTATTTTATTTAACTAATTTTATTAATTTTCTCTTGTTAATGTTTTTATACTATTCCTATGTTATTACTGTTTTAATCCCTCTTATATCAGAATTGTACTGTTTTACTGGCTCTTGCTGTAATAAATTAGATCGATCAGATGCATGTTTACAGTTTGTCTTAATAGTTTGATTTTTTTTTCTTTGTGTGTTTTTTCACTTGAAATGCTTCATCTTGCCCTCTCTTTGTGTGCTGAAATGAAGACAGAAGAAGGAAAAAGATGGGTAATTTTGCTGCAAGTTTTTTTCTAAAATGTGTGCTGTACAGTTTAGTATGATGTGAAATAACATGTTGAGATATGAAAACACTGATTGTAGGTAGCCTTTCAAATTATAATTATATATACCTTTTTATTGGGACCAACCAAAGCAATAATAACAATAACAATCATGATGATAATGATGATAACAGTAATAGTAGTAGTAGTAGTAGTAGTAATAATAATAATAATAGTCAATTGTTAAGTTAAAAAAGGAGAGGAGAAGAGAAAAAGATACTTTGGGGCTCAGTGGAAAATCCCTTCCTCAACCCTTTCTTATACTCACCATCAAGAGTGCCGGAGACCTTGAAAGCCTGACAGTCTTTTGTGATGGGAAGGGGGTTAGTCTTAATAAAAAGTTATTATATCACTGTTCTTTTAGGAGACATATATAATCTAAGCCACATTTAGAAATCCAAATGGATAGAGAAGACTACTTCACATCATACTACTTAGGCAGAATCACTTTGATACAAACAGCAACAGGTCCAACATAAAATAGACAATAAAACTGTTTTTTAGTTTGTTATGATGGAATCCGTTGATTGCCAAACCAAGATTTTTTAAAAAGCAATCAGCCAGGCATCACCAAGCTCTTGTAATGTACATTCTGCCATAAGATGTCCATAGGAGCTAATAGAATGTATAGACCAAAACAAATAACTTTTAGAAATCTCCTTGGAAAATTACTTTCTAAGAAGCAGTTTGATTCCCTTTATGCAGCCTTGAAATGCTGCTGCAGCAAAGTCTGTTATAATTTGACTCACAGAGAGAAATTCTCCAAGGGATAGATTTTTCAGGCCCCTCAGGTACCTACCAAATAACTACTGACTTTCAATGCATGATGTATGCCTAAAATCTTTTGGAGCCCCTCCCCCCCGCATTGTTTCAGGCTATTGTCATGGAGTACAACATACAGAACACAAGCCAGTGTCTCCCTTCCTGTTAGCTATTTGTCCTTGCAGAGTGGTTTTAAACAAGAGCACTTTAGAAATAAACTTTATTCTTTTTCTAATTGTGAGAAGTCAAATGGCTACGAAGCTTAGCATCCTGAGCCTAAACAAGTATGCTGCTAAATTAGTCCCATTTCAGTTATTACAATTTTGTACTCAAACCAGAGGTCATTTTGGGGGGGATCGCGGGGGATCGCAGTTCCCCCGAGTGAGGTACGGGGGCGGGACACATGACAAAGCCCCGCCCCCTGCTTCCAGCCGCCCCGCTTCCGGCCCTCATTCAGCCAGGAGGAGGCAGGGTAAGTTGCTTCCTCCCTGCCTCTCCCCACCCCTGCCTGCCTGGGGCCAGGGAAGGCCTTTGCGGGGCTTCCTTGCACTCCCGCCGGCGGCATATGCTAATGAGTTATGCTAATGAGTTCCCCTAGCTCTTTTTCTACGAAATGACCCCTGACTCAAACCAAGGGGATACTGTACTACCAGCATTTCTTCTCATATGGGTATTACTGTAGAGTTTCTGGTGATTCCTAGAGTAGATTGAAATCACTTCCAGGTTTTCCCCAGAGGTGCCATAAGGCCTGCAAACAGGATCTTCCAGAGGGAACCTGGCATCTATGTCTCTGTACTGCAGAGATCAGTTTACTTGGAGGAAATGGCAGCTTCAGAGGATAGATTTCATGGAATCACATCTCCATTGAGATCCTTCCTGTCCCCAAACTCCACCATCTCCAGGCTTAAACCACTAATCTCTAGGAATTTCCCAGCCTGGAACTGGCAGCCCTACTTACAGGTAGTTGCCATTTTAGTATATAAATAGGCAGGGCTATTTTGGGGCAGGAACACACAGGAATGGAGTTCTGGCTGGCTCCTGAGTTGGCCATGCCCAGCAGGAACTCATTAGCATAATAGGCCACACCCAACAGCAAAAATTCATTAGGATTGGCTACATTAGGGGTGTGTGGCCTAAGATGCAAAGGAGTTTCTGCTACAAAAAAAGCCCTGGGTTTTGACAACAAACAAGGTAAACAGAATAAGAAGCAAAAGGTGGGTGTGGCTGGATGACCACACTTCTGGTAACATGAGGGTGCGGCCTAATGCACTAATGAGCTGTGCTGTTGGGGTGTGGCCTATTAGGCTAATGAGTGACTGCTGTTGGGTATGGCCTATTATGCTAATGAGTTCCTGCTGGGCCTTTTCTACAAAAAGAGCCCTGTAAATAGGACAACAGGCATATTTTTGAGCCTCAGTACACATGAGCTCATACCCACAGGTAATCTGTGCCTCCAGTTGCACATACCAAAACTGGGAAATATGCAATGTCTTATTCACACAAAATGGTGACCACCTGTATCAGGAGGTTTGCCAACAGCACAGTTTCCCTTATACATTATTTGAGCACGAAAATTGTAGTGTCTGAAAAGGGTTCTGTTGGAAGGTTATTCAAACACTGCCTTAATAGCAAGCTTTGTAATGCCCTGGAAGCACTTGGGCTATAATTAAGAAGACTTGGTCTTTGGGCCTTCCTGGGGCTCATGCCCCCCGGGGATCTTGTACCCTAACAAACCAGCTCTTGATGAATGCTGATCACTCAGTGGTGAAGGAAAATCATTCTTTGCTTACTTGCCATCTTCATGACCTAAGAATTCAGCTTTAGTTTATTTGGCACATATAAAATCATTGCTCATACACTGCTTTCCTCCCCCCCCCCCCAATACAACAGATCAAGCAGTACTGTAGCACGGTATGTTGTCAGCTTTGAAAAAGACACATCAGAAGTCAAAAGGCCTGAGGATGACATCTCAACAATCGGTTCCAATAAAATTGAAACTGAAAAAGATCTTCTTAGTAAGGAGGGGGAGATACCAGTGATTAAGCCAAAAGTGACCGACCTTCAACGGATGGTTGCCATTGCTCTTCAAGAAGACAAGTCACTATCCATGGACCTTGGAACACTTCAGTTTGCCGATGGTAAATCAATTCAAAGTTGCTTTGAATTGAAAGGGAAGCTGTGGGTTGGGCCTTTAGATAAGGTTCTGGGGGTGTTGTTTGTTTTGAATTATAATTAACATAAGATTTAGGTAAGAGAGACCTTTTAACCACATTTGCACTGTTTTGCCAGATTTGGTTGGGGGGGTAATTTAAGGGATAACCACTGGTTTCCATCAACGTGATTACTAGCTTTCATATGTTTGGTGGGTGGAAGTGTATTGTTCACTCAGCTTTCTGCACTGGCAGAACAGAGTTATGATATTCCTTTTACTCATCAAAGTGAACTAAAGACTGCTGTCGCATAGTGCCTTTCAGAATCAAATGGCGTGTTTCTATATCTAGGATGACAAAGAACTAAAACAACCAAAAGTAGAAAACTTTGTTAGCATAAAATGTTTTACATTTTCATTATCTCCAATAGCATGCTTTGAGACTAAAGTCTTGTGTCACACAATTAAGCTCAAATAATAGTGATTTTAGCTGTACCCTTAATTAAATGTAGCAAACAGGTTTTGAAAATGTGTTTTTAATATATTGCTAAAATTCATAAGACTAGCCCAATCTCATCAGATCTCAGAAGCTAAGCAGTGATTTGTTTATTGGGGAATAAAGATGTTTCAAGCTGAGACTTCTGTGTCAGAACTAAAGTTCTGGCGCCAAGGCCCCAAATTATACATTGTTCAAACAGGCTCCCCCCCCTTGATCCAATCCAATCATAACCCACATTAATCCCGGCTAGATTTTGCATGCTCCAGCCCCTAACTACAAGTCTACCATTACATTGTCTATTTCTGTGGAGCAAGCACAGACATCAACCAAGGTCATCCCTGAGAAGGGAGGCTACTTAGAAAGAGTTACGCAGTCACTACAACAAAGCCATTCTCACACTCACACACTTACACACACACCCTCAGGAATTCCCAGTACCCACTCAAGGCCCCTTAACAAATGACAAACGAGACACTGAGTTTGACAGGATGGCCCTGGTTAGTACTTGGATGGGAAACCACCAAGGAATTCCAGTGCTGCTATACAGAGGAAGACAATGGCAAACCACCTTTGAACATCTCTTGCCTTGAAAACCCTACAAGGTCATCATAAGTTGGCTGGGACTTGACAGCACTTTACACACACACACACACACACACACACAAACTACCGTACATCAGCAAAGACCCAATAATATTCAAACAACTGCAAGTATATTAAATGAATTAATACCTTAATTGTAATGCAACTTTGGCCCCTGCCACACGCAGGGGAAAAGGCGCTTGAAGGCGCGGCTTTTAAAAGCCGCGCCAATGTTGACACGGTGTGGCGGGATCCCACGGATCCCCTGGCCGCGCCACCTTTTCTCCCCGGCGCGATCAAACGCCGGGGAGAAAAAACGCCCTACCCGGGGGCCGGCCAAACTGCGCATGTCCGGGCATGCGCAGTTCGGATCCGGGCCGGGGTTGAGCCGGCGCAGGGAAGCGGCGGCGATCAAACGCCCCGGTTGCCGCGCCGCTTCCCTTTAAACCACCTAGATAGGTGGTTCAGTTTGCGCCGGCTCATCCCGGGAAAGGGACAGTTTGGGTACGGAAGCCGGACGCTTCCCAGATGTTGTGGTGTGATCGCGCCGGTTTGATCCGGCCCCAAACTGTCCTGCTCCCGGACCAAATCGGTGAGTGTGAACGGGACCTTAGTAAAGTTAACAAAGGGCAACTGATCTAAAGATAAAGTTTCTGCATGTTCCTTATTATTGACTTGTTGGATCTCCACAGTAAGTTTAGCCACCTTGGCTAGACCCTAAGATTGACCAGTATCCTAAAATGAAAGACAAGGCAGTACAGGCCTAATAAAATTCTGGCAAAGGCCAAAAGATTTCAGGTCAAATTAAAATACTCCCAGTTGCCTACAGGACCTAGAAGTATGTCCTTTACATTTGTCTTTTTGTCCCATTTTGCAGAAGTGATTAAACCATCTACTGATGTAGACAATGATATCAAATCACAGGTAACTGATGCTACAGCTGAACCTGGGTTGGTGAGTACATCTTCATGGCATTATTGATTGAGATAACTATGTATGTATCAACTACAGACATGTAATAAAATAATCACAAAAATAAAACTTTTGTGGTGGCTTCTCTGATGGCTATGGGCCACCACCACTGACATCTGGCACAACTCTTTTCCTTTGCCTCATGATCACAACTTTTTGGGTTGTATCATACAGGCAGCTGGATACTATACTCTACTTGCACACGAGGGAAGGGGATTTACCCACTTACCCCTCCTTCCTATTATCCCCATGTGTTGCATGGCATTTTGACCATGAGGTCAAATCTTCAGCACTGGCCTGGGGAGCAGGGAGCAGAAGGAGGAAAAGATTAATCTCTGTGGATAACTTGCACTAGCAGTTCATAGGATTAACTCCACGGAGCTTGAGTTTGTTACTAAGCTGAGAAGCAAGGTTTCCCAAACACAACACAGGCACACACCAACCAACCATTTCTGGAGACTTTAATTATTAGAATTTGATTTTACTTCGTGGTTGGTTTTGTATTCCCATGCTATGCAAAGCCAGGGTTAAAGTGCTTATCTGCCCTACTTTTTTAAAGAAGGAAGAGAGTTATTTCACTCCTTTTCACTGTCTCACAATAGAATCAAAGGTTGTTTGAAGAGTAAAGCACGGTAGAAATGAGTTAAAGAAATAAAGGAAGCTGCGTCTCCCACATCTGTTAAATTGGAGGGACTAAATATTGATTACTGAGTTGGGGTATGGATGACTTTTTGTCCTAAGTATAAAATGACCTTCTAGCACATTTTAAAAATATTCTGTAGGAAAGCCCTGAAGTTTTTTTCTCTTGACAACTTTCACAGTTGCTTCATACAAAAATCAGGCAATGCTTTTAAGGCTAACCAAGTTTATTACAGAGTAATCTTTTTGGAGTCAGAATTTACTTCATCACAGGGGCAATCCCTGCTTTGCCATAGACCCAGCAGGAAGGTTCAGCATATCAGGCTGGCTATATGATATACCCATTTGTCACATACATACCGTTTTAAGTGTACACTTAAAACACCTTTGGTGTACACAGAAAGAAACCCTAACATGTAAAATGGTGCTCAAATGTGATAACCATTGCTACTCTTTTTAATTTTCCTGAATATTTTTTGCAGACTTCTGAAGCTCCACTGGTTTATCCAAGTCCAGCAACATCTACAGAAACTGAAGATACAAATCTTATAATAGACTTCCCACTCCCCACAATGCCTTTCAATGTACTGGATAGTACTGGAATACCTCTAAAGCCAGGGGATCCTGATTCACCTCCACCGGCAGATCAATCGGCCAGCAATGATTTAAGCCTAGGATACTCTGAGCTGCCAACTGAACAGTCATTCACATTTGCACTGTTTACT